AGCCCCCCCCCCCCCCAACAGTAAAAATTAAATAAATAAAAAAATGTAAAAATAAAATAAAAGATTAAAAAATGTGTAAAAAAAACGAATAAAAAAAAGCTCAACCCCTCCCTCCCCCCACATAATATACAAATATTGTGGTTTACACCATGCACATTCGCTGCAGTGCGTTGTTAGAACGCATCGCAGTGCATGATATTTTTCATCTATTTTTTTCTTTTAAAAAACCCATTAAATTAACTGTGGCAGCGCATGGCAAAGCTTTGTGACTCATTGCCGTGCGTTGTGATACCTTGTGTTGCAATTAAATATACGCCTGTATCATTTTAACACAAACACCAACACTGCGTAAAAATAATTTTTAACATAAGTCGTTTATTTACAGTTTTGCGTACCTTCATTATTTGACCTTTTCGCAAAAAGGCGCAGTTTCAAATTTGCAAATATTTGTTATTAATTAACTCAATACAGTTTTATCTTTTAGATTTAGTCAGAAAATATTTTTTTTGTGCGCCGATACTGATTTTAGTGCTTTAGCAATTGAATTGTGTATTTTTCTCGGTTTAATATTCATTTGAGAAACATTTGCGCTATTATCGCAGGGCCTACAAATTTAGTAGCACCATCTTTTTATTCTACCGGGCCTGCGCTTTCAGAAAATATATGGTTTGGGGGGTCTTTTACAAACGCTAACAACCCAGCAGATGAAAATCAAATCAATGGGAAAAATTGCAAAAATGGCGCGGCCAGCTGAGGTGCAAAATGTTCCGGAGTGCTTGGCAGCGAAAGGGTTATATCTAATCATATCTATGAAGAATAAAAGGTCTGTCTGCACTGAGCATTTGAATGAAAACTGAGACGTTGCTGACTCTTATCCCCGGGATTTTTGTCTATGGATTTTCATTGAACACGCGGGCTAAGCTGTCCAAAACATCTTTCTTTGTGATCTTCCTCCAGCCATCCGGCAGTTTTGCTGGTTTAGCTTTGTATTCCTCAGCAAACTTCTCATTAAACTTCCCAAAAATATATTTCCAGTATTCAGAGGACTTGCTGTGTGCATCTGGCTGAATAGACCAGTCTGGATAAATCTCACGATAGTTTTTGTATGGGTGCCCAAGAATATCTGTTTTTGCATTTCTAAAGCTAGTATCAGATATAACAGCTGATGAGCATATATCAGTGATTAATTCTCCACTAAACTCCCATCTGTATCCCCCCAGTCCATGGGGTCTATGGATAGTAGCAAAGTGCTCCTTGTGCTCACCACCTCCGGCCTCACAGGGCACCTTACAGAATGGACATTGCTTCCCACAGCCAACAACCTTCCTGAACAATTCATCCTGAGGCTTCATTGTCACCCTGGAGAGTACAGACTTTATATCCATAGATTGCAGCTCTGATAAGATTCCTGATTCTGTGTCCTTGAGGAAAAACAAAATGTCAGATGAAAACTGAACAACATCAGCCGTGTTCTGAAAAGTTATCAAATTCAACTCATCCTGTGGAATCACCAATTCATTTTGTAGGAACTCACACACACGTTTCAGGAACTCTGAGACAGAAGAACTTCTGAGACATTTGTCTCCTTTAAGAGCTGCTTTTACTTTTGTAGTCACTGAAGAGATAATATTTTCTTCTAAGGGTTTCAGGCATTGTGGATTTCCATATTTCTCTTCAATGTAGTTCTGTATCCAGTCCCTTGTATATTCCTCATATGAGCCAATGAATGCAACATATTTCTGGAATGACTCTTCTTCCAGCAGATCTTTCAGCAAAAAACTCTGAAAGAAGGTTCTGCTGCGGAATTTCTTGTTGTCTGAGCCGTGTAATATCTCATCTACTATTTTATTTCCAAGATGCTTGAAGACATATTCTTTCATGGCTGGTTTTAGGCATCGCTCACAAAATTCTTTGGCCTTAGTCTGACGTATATCTTTCACTTGAAATGTACTGATAAAAGTTTGTAAATATCCCGGCTTTAGTCTTTCCAGAGAAAGTTTTGGATCATTGGTGTCTCTAAACTTGTCATGCATTGCCTGAAATTCTCGGGATGCATTTCCAAGAATGTAAAGCTTGATATCCAATTCAAAATCTGAGGAGAAGTTAAGATCTTTTAACTCTTTACTGAGCTCTGTATTGATCATGTGGAGTATTTCCCGGCAGTAGGTGTCATCATAATCTTGTTCAGTTTTGACCTTCTCTCTGACAAATGTTTCACACTTATTTAACACAGAAAAAGCAACATTTACCATTTTACCATACATGCCCGTGCTTTCAATGCCTAACACTTGAATGACTGGGTCTAGATTCCCATTCTGAATATGTTTTTTATCTAATTTGAAATATTTTTGTATGTTCTCTTCTAAGTTGTGTACACGTAGTAAGGCTTTACTTATACCTGATTCTCTATTACTCATGTCATTCATCAGTTGCATCAGCATTGGTTTACTAACTATGCGTCTTGTTATCTCTAGACCCGTCAGTGTCTTCTCCCACATCTCCTCAAAATTTTCCCGGAACTCTGATTGATTTAGTTTCTGGTTCTTCTCTCTGCACTTTCCAAGCAGATCTGTGATTTTTTCTTCTATTAGTTTCTGGGAAAAGCTCTTGATTTTCTCAGTCTTGAATTTCCCTTTCTGAACAGAGACAGCTTCATCAAACTTGCTAAGAGCATTTCTTTCCAATTCTTTCCTCAGGAGCTCTATTCCTAAAGCGAACTCCTGTTTGTATCGTATTATAAGATGAACATTTTTATTGTTAAAATAGTTTTCTAGTAATTTCACCATTTCAGTTTTTCCTTTAAGTAGCAATCTGTTGAGCTCATCCTTAAATTTTGAGCACAATTCATCATTTAGACTTTCTGTAGTCTGATTCTTAATGTTTGTCTCTGTATGGATCTGCCATTCATATACAGCTTTTTGGAACTCCCATTCCCATTGTGAGTATTGTATACACAGTTTATTATAAGTGTCTGCCACTAAACTGTTCCTGAAACTGAAGATGATTGTCTCATGTTTGACAGCATTCCATAAACTTTTAATCCATTCAATAAATCCCCGTATCGTTAAAGGCTTGTCCAGTGATTTCTTGGTTTTCATTAATTCTAATAAATACTTTTTACATTTTGACACATGTTCACTGTACCCAGAATTTACAGGAGCCATTGGAGGGTCACCAAGCCAGAGTCCAGGAATGTACCAATTGTCTGTCTCCAGGTTGTAGTTCATCACATCACTGAAAGTTTTAATTTCACTATTTTCCATTCCAGCAGCTACTTTTGTCATTTCATCCAGTTGTTCCAGAAGTTTCTTCCGATCTCTCATGTTCTTTTCATGAGCGGACACATCACTCACATTCTGGTGTACAAACTGGCAGTTGGGTCTCTTTTTTATTTCATTCATTCTCAGAAAAGCATGGACCACAATCTGTAAAGTATCCTTAATTTGTGTGGTGTTCTCCATGGCCATATTGATGATGGTGATATCGCTCAACCCGACCACTAGTGTGGCGAGTTCATTGTCATGTTCATAGCTTCCTTCCAGAGAGGCCAACTCTGGAGCTTTCAACCCCTCAGTGTCAATGAACAGGATGAACTGACACCCTAGTTCCTCCTGGAAGTTCTCTTTTACATTAAGAAGAATCATGAAGGCTCCTCGTGTACATCTTCCACTGGCCCCCGTCAACTGTATGCCAAACATAATGTTGAGAAGAGTGGACTTCCCCGTACCCTGCACTCCCAGCACAGTTATCACTCTCATTCTGCATTTTCTCCCTGTTTTGCTGTCCAGCTCACTCAGGACATCAGTTATCCACTGTAAGGGGATGTTGGAGGCATCTCCATCTATCAGCTCCAATGGGAACCCGTCTAACAAGAGATCAGCAGCAATTCCTGGCAGTTCAGTAAACATTTTTTTCATATAACCTAATTTATTTTCTTTATCCATGGAACATTCAGCTTCATAAAACTGCCCCATCTCACGAAGGAAATGTTCAATTCCTAATGAACTGTTGGAGATTTCTTGGTCTATCTTTTTAAGCTCTTCTTTGTTAATTGACTTATTGTTACATCTTTCTTTGTACACAGCTTGTAATGTAGAAAGATGTTTTCCAGCCATTGAATCAAGTTCCAATTTTAACTGATTCAGGAAAAAGTGTTTCTCAGTCTTAGACAAATGAGCAATTGCATTCATAAAAAGTATTATTCCATGAGGCAGATCACACTTATTTTGTTTCTCATGTAGAGTAGATCTTCTTTTTCTCAGTTCATCTTGATATTCTTGTGCATCTTTTCCTCCCTGGTTTGGCATTCTGCAAAGTTCTTTGTCTACACTGGATACCTCTTCCCACAGTTCTCCCTGTAACACCATTGTTTTCTGTTTGTACTCAGCCACATCTTTTATTTCAGCTGTTATTTTGATAACCAGTTTCCTGGCTTTCTGACATTCAGGATTTTTCTCATCTACATGGATTTGCACTTTTTCTGCTTCATTCTCCAGATCTGATATTGTTATGTTTTTTGCAACATTGTTTACCAAACTAATAATGCTATTTTGTAGCTTGTTTACAAATGTTGCTTCATTTGCTGTGCCTCCATATACTATAACATTTGAGTTTTTTATATTTAATACTGGACTTAAGTCTTCAAGAGTCTTCAGTGTCTGTGTACTCACATTTTTGCCTGGACCTGGAGTAACAATGAAGTAATATTGGGTGTCATTAGTAGGGCAGCTTGATAAGAGTTTGGATTCCTCCCCAAAAATATTCTCAATTAATATAAATACAGCTGATGAGACTCGAGTCAGAAACATGAACTGGTGCCAGTTGGTCTCCAGGTCTCCTCGTAGGTTGGTCACTGCGATGGGTTCTGGGAAAACATCAGACTTACCACAAGGAAAATACCAGGACATTTCCACCAGTCCATCAGATATTTGTCTCTTAATGTTTCCTCCCTCCATATTGTCATGTATGAAGAAGTTGTTCTGTTGCTGGGCTGGGTTAAGAATTTTGTTCAGTATTTTAGATTTGGATAATTTGTTTTTCCCCAGCCGGACAAAAGAGAAGATCGGCATAGATACATTGACCACATTTTCTTCTCTGAACCCTTTACTGTCAGCTAGTGACTGAGGTCTCCACTTCTTCACAATATTCCTCATTGCCCCCAGCATGAGGGTGCAGTGTGACCCATCACCAGCCGGGAGCAGCAGAGGGACAGCAAACTGACACATGGCCATTTTGGTTACAATCTCTTGTTGCAGAAAACTGTCTGAACAATGCAGGAGGACGCACAGGACATCCAGGGGGTGAATGGAAGAGGACAAATGAAGTTTATCTTGAAATGAGGAAGCATTAAAATTGTCATCATTATCATCAGTAGAAGGATTTATCTCAAGTAAAATGTCTCTCGCAGTCCTGTTTAAGGCCATCAGCTTCCTTAAGTAATTCCAGGGAAGATCCTCTACAGTTTTTGGTGGCTTGCCGAGCACAATATCTAAACCAATGCTCAGGACGTCCCTCAGGGTCAACTTCAGGATCAAGTAAGGATTCATCTTCATTTTTTCCACCAGCTCAAGAAAATCCTTTTTTCTTGCTTGAAATTCTGTAAGTAAATAAATATATATTTTCACAAACTATCTCTATATTACCATTTTTTATTTATAAGCAAGCAGGGGTGTGTCAAACCTCTGCAGGGAGACCACTGCTTCTACACAGAGAGCAAGGGTCTTTCTCTGCAGCATGCTGGCAGGGGACAGACTTTTCTACTCAGTTTATATCTGCTTTCTAAAGAAAACAAACTAAGGGGTTACTCACAAAGCTGCCGAAGCCAACGAGTGAATAACTGGAAGGCTTGTGTGTTGCGCTCGGTTCAAAATCTATTTGGTTTGTCCGTGATATATCATCAAAACAATAGTTTAAGTCGATGTGGTGAAAGGTGATAATACAATTAAATGAACACAATCTATATAAAAACTAATGTGTATATACTAAATGTGGATATGTGATCACAAATGCTAATAAATAAAGTATGTGAAAAAACTGAGTGATGGCTTTTAAGCGGAAGTGACTTGAAAAGTATCAAAAAGTGCTAAATAGCCGTGTCTAGTACAAACTGTGAACCCAAAGGCGCACAGTGAAATTGGTGCAAAAAAATGGATTGTGGACTGCCGTCTAAGTGAAATCTACCTATAAATTATTATAGTGCCAGACAATAAAACAGTGAGATGGTGATCTAGAGCGGAACTACAAGTTGTCCATCATATTTGAAAGATGTAATCATATACAAGCAATCCGCGGTAGTGGAGCGGAGCCACTCAAGGTTAAAGATGAATAAATCCTTAACTCAAAAGGAAAAAAATGTTTTTCGACAAAAAACGATAAACGATAAAACGATAAACGATAATGGGAAACAACAAATCAATGTCAGTGGAGCGGAGCCACTCAAACCATAACCGTTCTAGATGAGAGGCATAAAAAGAAAAACATAAAGATAAAATGTATATGGATTACAAACAGAGTCTCATCTATAGTCTACTTCTCTGTTATTGGAAATGTTAGTTGGATTCAGGAAAGCAAAAATAGTAACAGTAGTGAGGCTGCAGTCTAAATGTTTCTATGCTCCGGCACGGAGCTGCTGCAGTAAGTTGATGGTTGATTCTCTTCCACAATTAACCAGTCATTCGCGCTGTAGTGGCGGCTGAGCCAGCCCACCAGGTGAAATAGATAGCGGGATCAGACAGTATAATATAGAGGGAAGAAAAGGAGAAAAAGAATCCTAAGTGTAGTTGTTAAACAAATTTATTGAACGCAAGAAGGTTCACACTTACAGGATATTAGATGGTTCAAAACATTTAAGTGTAAAGGACACTCAACTAGTAGAATCACCGGATACGTAGGAGAGGAATCCCTTGATGCGTTTCGTCTCGTCTGGACTTCTTCAAAAAGTGAATAACTGAGCCGAAGTGAACTGAGCCAAACGCTGTTCGGCTATTCACTTCAGCTCCGTACGGCTGATTTCAGCTGTACATCGGCTAAAATCAACCATACATCAGCTGACATCGGTCAGCCGAACATGCAGAGCATGTTCGGCTAGGCTGAAGTGAAGGAGCCGTTCGACTCAGCCGATCCAACATCTAGATCGGCTGAGCCGAACCTCCGGCAGTTTACTTGCTGCCGTTCGCAGACAGAATCAAACACCGCGCCAGCAGATTTTGGTTCAAGAGAGTATTAATCAATGATGTTCAGGAGTGCAGGGCGATAACGGGGCGGCTCTCACCAGCTTCAGAACAACCTCAGCACTGCAAAACAAGACACAGAGAGCGCCTCCATCACATAAACACTTTCTAATAAACGAATAATGTTTTTTAATAAACAAAAACGTTTTTTATACGATGGAGGCGCTCTCTGCGTCTCGTCTTGCATTGCTGCCATTCGCCCCTATTCCCATAGGGGCCTAACGGCAGTGAGTGAATAGCCGAATGCCGCTGAACAGCACTCGGCTCAGCTATTCTGCTCGCTACCTCTTGAGGTAGCGAGCAGAATAAAAAAATGTAAACAAAATAAAAATTATAAAAAATAATTTAATTAAATGTAAATAAAAAACAATAAAGCAAACAGTGTGTGGTTCCCCCTCTCAAACCATACCAGACCAAGGAAAAAAAGTGGGGTCCCCCTAAAATTCCCAACCAGACGCTTGATACGAGCACAGGCCTGGCAGGGCCGGAAGGGTGAGATGAGTGAGCACCCCTACCTGCCAAACAAGACCACATGCTCTCTGTGCTGATGGGAACAAGGGCCTCTTCCCCACAAGCCCTGGGGCATTGGTTGTTGGGGTTTGCGGGCATGGAGGCTTATTTGCATCAGGGTACCCCTTTAATAAACGAGAACCCACATGAATTTTATTAGCAGCTATGGCAATAGGAGGAATGACCCTAGTAAATTATATAAAAATAAAATAAATAAAAATATATAAATATTATTTTATATTATTTTTTACTTAGTTTTTTACATTTGTATTTATTTTATTATTTTTTTTATCAAAAATTATTTTGGCTTAACTTTATTGCTGTGTGATAGCGTTTGGAGGTTGTCTTTATTGACCCTGCCACCTCCAATACAGGAGTCCTAGCACAGCACTGTGCAGGAACTGCTGTGACAGCTGAGAGGGGAAGGCGTCTCTCCCCTCTCACTGTTTACACAGAGCAGCAGGGTTAGTTTTAACCCTGCCGCTCTGCTCCCCGCTCTCCATCCTGAAGACACAGGTGGCCAGCGAGGAAAGATACACGGTGGGGGCGGGGGGGAGCACGGAGCCAGCGTGGAAAAAGTGGGTGTCCGGGGGGGATTGAGGACGGACCGGCTGAAGTCTTATTACAAGTGATTGTGGTGACATCGCCGAGATCACTTGTAAACAGACAAGCGACTTCCTCACTCTAGATTTAGCTCTGCTTGACCAAAGCAGGGCTAAATGTAAAAAAACAACCGGCATGTCCCGGGTGTCGGGAGAGTTCACACTGATGCCGCCCCTCTGCTCCCTGCCGCCCCAAGTGGCCTTGTGGCAAATCTGGCCCTGTATATGTAGTATGTAAAATAAATGGTATGTTGATATTAATGTATGCATATTCATTTAGTTGTTTTTTTCCATAATGTATTTCATTGCTGGACCAACATTGTCCATGTTTACGATTATATTATTAATGAGTGTCTATATTTATGACTTTGTACATTATATAATTATAATACATTATCTGAAGCCCTTGGAAATCTGTGGCAAGTTATTTTTGGTCTGAAAAAATACCTATGAATTAGAGGAAACATTTATGAATCTCTATATTTAACAACAGTCAGTGTATTGATGAAGGTAACTCACCTTCCAAGTAGTAGGACAAATCACACAGGGCTGGAAACCTGAGAACCATATTCTCTAGATGATCCAGGAACGTCTCACAGGCCGGCTCTCCCTTCTGTAGAATGAGGTCTATCAATCTCTCTGTTCTTTCTACATCTCCCTCAGTCCTGTACAGGTCTATATACTCCTCATGGGATAGGAGTCTGAGAGATCCCACTTCATCATACAAGACATCCACATTCTCTGCAAACACTTGTGTTAGTTTTCCTTTCAGGTGTTTAATGATTTGTGATGCTTCCCTGGAGGAATCATTGATGTCTGAAAAGGAATATAATATGTCAATGGTCAGTTACTATCGTCCTTAAAGTGTATGTCCAGACATTTGTTTCTTTCTTTAGAATGGTTAGAGCAGGGGCGCCCACTATTTTTCGTCTGGAGATCTACTTTTCAAATGACGAGCTCATTGAGATCTACCAACGAAAAAACACCTGCATTAAGGGGCGGCAGGGGGCGTGGCAGTGCATTGAAGTCAATGGCACCGCAGCCAGGCTCCGCAGGCAGGCCCCTCGCCCACAGTGCGATCGCCTGCATTAGTGCAAGCACTATTTTTGCAGATCGCACTGGACCGGAATGCAGGCACTAATGTGCCTGCGTTCCGAGTGCGGGCGATCGCAATGTGGGCGATGCCATTGACTTCAATACAGCTCCACACCCCCTCCCGCACTTGAACGCAGGGAGTCGGCCGGCTTAAATTCCAGTGCGCCCTACAGGTCACGTAGTACTACGTGTCCCCAGTTATTTACAAACACTGGAGTGATCAGCTGATCGCTCCAGTGTTTGTCCTGCACAGAGGATTGGTACATACTACTGACATGTACCGATCCTCTGCCGCTCGGCCACGCACAAGGGGGCTCAGCTTCTCCTCTGGATCCCCCCTGCTCTCCCGGGCAGAGGCAGCGAGGGATCCGAGGAGAAGTGATAGAGCACTTCAGCCGCGGGTGGGGGCGGAGCCGCTGTGACAGAAAGGACGAGCAGTGAGGGGAGAGAGAGGCTCCGGCTGTCAGATCCTGGCCGAGCGTCTCTCTCTCTCCTCACCGCTCTGCATGAGTTCTGTGACAGCGGCTCCATCCTCCGCCCTCCCCCGCCGCCGGTTTCTTCAATCCTTCAGCGCAGCGGGGATACAGAGAAGCGGCGGGAGGAGAGGACATGGCGATCTACCAGTGATCGCTACGCGATCGACTGGTAGATCGCGATCGACCTTGTGGGCACCCCTGGGTTAGAGCAAGGAAGAATTAGAACCACTGTCAAATTTTACTCTTATCCAGGGCTCTGTTACAGAGATTCCCTTCCACTTCCTGTAACTATGACAATGGTATCAGCAGACAGGAAGTGAGGGGGAAAAAAATACAAAAGTGGCACAGACAGAAATAAAAAAATGTTATTAGAGTACAGGAAGACTACAATTCCTGTCAGATAGTTTTTTCCATTTGTGTCCCTGCTGCAGATTTTCCATTACTGCTTAATGTCTCAGTGTTTTCTCTTACATTGCTTGATTTGTTTTCTCTTAGGGCTCTATTCGTGAAATCTCTGTAATGACATCCCGGGTCAACCTCACACCTCGCTGTCAGTGAGCAGAATGGCAGTTTC